AAATCATGATATTCTTTTTGTATTGGTTAGTTCCACGAGTTAACTTTCAAACCCAACTGGTCTCACTGTAAAATATTAAATATCCGATTTTTAGCAGATTTTACAAAAGGTTGCGCATACAGCTCTTTTTCTGTGATCACTATTTTTATCTTGCTTAAACAATGGCCTTAAACCCAACCATAAATCTGAGGAAAAATACCTTAGAAACTTAACATATCTAGTGAATTATGGTTGAAATTTGTGCTTAAAACCTCACTGAATGGGCTACACAAATTCATGAACTTCAGCCACATTTACACTTCATGCATTATTGCATGCAACTTTTCTTAAATTGTTTGAAATCATTACCCTCATTTCTCTTCTGAATACATTTTTTTACATTTTTCCTTTTGAAAGCCCTTGCATGCATGAGATAATCTGGAAAATTTCAAGAGCTTTTGTTATTTCTTTGATTTATTAGAATTATTGCTAAAACCAAGGGCATAAATCATATAAAATACTTCCAGAGGTCAATAAATCCTAAATAAATTCATGGATGATCCTTATGGGGAATAATGACCCCTCACCAAATTTCAGCAATTTTTGTTACTGTTTCATATGATTTCTAATTTTCTTTTATTTAGGACATGATAAATTACAAAACCACTTTATAGGATGTGAAAATTGTATCTAACAATTTTCGCATACCTTACCTGTGATGGGTGACTCCAGAAAATAATTTCAAGATTTTCATCATGTTTTACTATTTTTCCCAATTTTTGGTAATTATAATGGTCTAAAAATGGAGAAATAGTTCTGATTATCCAAAATTCATGAAATTTACCAGGATATAATATTATAGAGTAGGAGGTTACATAAAAATTTTGAATATTTTTCTCTACTGTAAACTATTTTTCTCTTATTTTCTAAAGTTAATTGCACTAAAATACACTTAAATATACATAAATACCCAAAACCAGTTTATACATTATGAAAACCACTTTTGATATTTTTCCCAGGATATTTATACTGTAAATGATGTTACAAAATTTATGGTGATTTATTTTAACTGTTTAATATTATTTCTTTAATTAATGACTATTTAAAGGAATAAAGCAAGGAAAAATAGAAATACCCACTGAAAAATATCTTTTATATTTTTCCCAGCCTATTTATGTATAATAACAATTAAATAAAAAGTTTGGGTAATTTTGGAAACTGTTTTCTATTTATTTCAATTTTTATTGAAATAAATGCTCAAAAATCATAAAATATAATTAAACAGCTTGGAAATCCATTTTTATAATTTTCCCAGCTTAGTATTGTGTAATAACAGTTAAATAAAAAGTTTGAGAATTTTTATCCCTCGAATGCTATTTTCGTGAATTTATGTTGTAATAAGGACTTAAAAATTTGGAAAGTTTATATTCCAAGGTTGTAATTAATCGCCCGATATATAGAATTTCATTACTTCAGAAAAGTGTAACTAATTGATATAAAATCCAATACTAAAACATAAATTGGCATTTCCCTATATGTAGAGTTTAGTATATTAGCATTAGATATCGACATGGAAACTCACTAGTGCGTGTGTTTGATGTCGTAGGATCCCGGTAGTAAGACGTTGGTGCATCCCGAAGTACCGCTTGTGTCTACACAAAACATCGTGAGTATTCACGCACTCCCCTATTTTCGGTTTTTATGTTTTGGGGTGGAAAAGCATGTCCAGAAAAACTACTGTTTGCATGTTGTATTTAAATTGAATTGTATCAAACATGATTGCTATTGTATTGCTATGTTTCTTTATGTATGTCTATGCAACACGGAACATGAGAACTTATCGTACTAAGGCCCTTCCCTTATCTCTAACCATTAACTCTTTGAGCCAATGGTCGTTATGGATAGCGCTATTAGGAATTGACAACTCCTCACTCGCCCGAATCGCTGGAGTGCATGATACCATATTCATCTATGGAACGATAAGCATAGATCTCGATAGGGCTTCAGTCATAGGTTTGGTTGAGACTCATTGTTTGCTCATACACATACAAACTCGTTTCCGTTCTAGCAATAAACTTGTATACCTTAATAGCAATCAACTTGTTTATCATTAAAGCAATGTACTTGTACTTACGAAAAGCATTATTGTACCCTCGATTTATAAACTTGTGATACTCACCAACTATTTTCATAGTTGACGCTCGTTTTACATGCTTTTTCAGGAAGTAATTAGTAAGTGGATGTAAAGATTCATCATCATAGAGCATGCTGCATCGTGTTGAAGCTATTATGAAGCTATATTTTGAACAATGTTATTTTGAAAAACTTGTATTTTGTTTCTTTTGAAGCTATGGGTTGTAAACTTTTAAATACTGCTATGGTGATGTATCTTTATCTTTTGCATTGAAACCGTTATCGCTGTCATACCTTGCGTTTCCGCTTTAGCGGGGTGTGACAGAAGTGGTATCAGAGCTAAAGTTATAGAGAACATCGGTTTTTTCTTTAAGAAACACAACCTATAACTAAAACTTACAAAGAAATTCTTTTTACATCAAACATATTACTAGTATAATTAGGTCGGGAGTTGTATTATTGGACCTTGATTAAACATAGCCTGATCACCTATGTTTAATTAAGAAAAGATTTATACAAAGCTTGAGCTAATTATAATGGGAATATGTTCAACAAAAATATTTGAGAAAACTTTATTTCAAAATTTCAAAAGGTTAATTTTGGTGTGTGTAAGCATTGCATATTATAGGCATGCATTGTCATTTATTTCATATCTCATTGAAACTATGTCACAGTCCACTATGTCAACATCGTCATCTTCCCGCGCTACCGCCTCAGCCGATGAATCCGGCTACGTCACTGTTATCCCTCGACGTAATCCCCCCGCCTCGGTAGAAGAAGACCCATCAGAGGATACGGAAGATACTGGAACTCGGTGGAGATCAGCAATGACAACGCCCCGAGTCAACGACGCGAGGCATCACCGACATCGGTGTTGCCACAGCCACCGCTCTATGGACTTCGCATTCGGAGGACAGCGAGGAAGAGTGTTCCCATTCCAGGAAGGATACCCGCCAGCACAGCAGGACATGGCACGGCAGGACCTAGCGGAGCAGAACCCAGCGATGCAGGACCGAGAGCACCCTCACCTCAGCAAGTCATAGGGATACCTGTCAGACAGCCAGGTATGACCCCGGAGGAGTCCCGGAGATTGCAGTCGATAGCAGCGGGCCTACGTCACAGTCTCGCTGTGATAGCTGGGCATCGAGAAGTTTTGGATGAAGTCTTGGCAGGAATGGAAATCCTGTATCAGCATTCGATGGAGACTGCTGACACTGCTAGTGCTGCTAGACGAGAGGCAGGTCATGCGATGACAGCATATTATGTGTTTGGTGGGCTGTTCCTGATTGTGGTGTTGATGCTTCTTGTTGGGATAGCGATTGGCTTTTGGTTCTGATTTCAGTATTTTGTTTTATTTTGTTTTGAAATGAAAACCCATGTTGGGTGTCTTTTGGGAAAAATATTTAAAACTTTATTTTGGGATTGACGTATTGGTTTGGTTTTAAGATTATTTCAAATGGTAATGAAAAATTTTATTTTATGTTTGAAAACTTTTACTATGAGGTCAAACCCTAAAATTTATTTGGTAAATGGTTGAATAAAAGAGATTTTTCTTTTCTTTCCTTTCTCAAATCTATATGCATAGTATTAATGCAACCCATTAATTTGACAACACTTACGGTTTTCAAAATGGTAGTGAAATACATATTATACATTATTTTATGTATTTATACGTATTTCTTCTCCTGTGTCATAGAACCATGTCAGGAAGGCTAATCGCGGCGCCCACAGAACGAAACGCCCGATGTTGCTCAAATGGTAGCACAACTCATGCAAGCAATCCCAAACATTGTTACTCAAGTAACTGCAGGACTTAATGCTAACCAAGGAAGTAGTGGAGGAAACCGGGGAAACAATGAAGAGAATGCAACTACAAGTCCTTTATGGCCTGTAAACCTAAGGAGTTCCATGGAAAGGAAGGTGCGGTCGGGTTACTGAAATGG